TTATTCTACTCCCTTTTGTTACTGCGAAACCTATAGTTAGAGGTTTGGGTGATACAGTCTCTTCACCTCAGAGTGTGGGTAATGAGGGGATGAAAGTCTTCTTTAGTCTTTGGTTGGCTGTAACAAAATCAATCCAGTTGGTCCTGGTGGTGCCAGGTATACAAAATCAAACAGTTAACCACATTTATTATTGAGAGACTGTAAAGCAATCTGTGTGAGCAATTTAAATTTTTGCACTGATGCAATTGGGGAGCAATTTGCAATTTTGTTTCCCCCTCAGCAATTTTCTCCCCTCCGCTCCTGAAAGCATCCAACTCCTTTTTCTTTCTGCTGGGGAATGCCGGGATCCGTTACTGTGAAGCGCTCTAAGACGCCATCCGGCGTGGAGGGCGCTATATAAATCCAAGTTGTTGTTGTTGAATGACTCAATAAATAGTTGGTGATCATTTTCTAGTAAGCAGACCTATATAGCTTGTCAGATAGTGTATGATCACTGTCTGACAGCCTCCACTAGAGAGGTATTGGAGAGTCTTTGGAGAAAACTTTCTCAGGTTGGGATTAAAACACAACTTGGGAACAAAGTGGAAGCTTTTGAAATGTTTAAAAGCAGGTTGAGCAACAATAAAACGGGGTGAGAGACCTATGATATTGTAAGAGAATTAACCACGTAGGAAAATGTCACTAGAAATTTTAAAAAGGCTTCTTTCACTTTCTTTCACTTCTGATTCCTTAAAAGAAAACATGTACACGTCCCTCACTGATCCACAAGCCGCAATGATAAAAATAGATTGCAACTGAACAATACCTCAAGGGCTGTGTGGAGAACAAATGCAACACGTAAATAGCATTACAGATTCACTGAACGTTTGAAAACTGGCTCAAGTTTTCAGTGAAACTGGGAATACACCTCATCCAGTGACTGGCAGGAGATAAACTGAAGCTGCATTGGGTCCATACCAGCATAGAAGGTCAGAGACATGGACCTGTTATAAAGTAGAATCACTCACAAACTCTTACTATTCAATAGATCTCAGTCATTTCTGGTATATGTGACTATAAATAGGTATTTAGAAGTTATCGTTAAAATCAAAATGGGTATTTGTTCTCCAAGACCAAATGTTTGGTTCTCTTATTCAAGTCAGAAACACTTGAAGGTCGTTTTGAAACTTATAAGGACTTTAAGGACAACTTTGTTTGGGAGAAAGTTGTTTTTGGAACTTGCCTGGTCTTAAAGGAAAGTACGTTTTACTACACTGGAGCATAATCCTAAATCTTACCCAATTGTCTCACAGTCTCCTTTGCTCATCCCGTGTTTAAGAACAGCTGGTAAAAGGCAGCCTGGTAGGATATCACTCCTCCTGTGACATCAAAAATGGGGACAATGTTGTCTTTCTTCATGTTAGTATTGATAGAAGTCGAGGCAACGATACTATCTGTTGGGGCCATGAAAAGATCAGACCATGGACAGTGAGCAGTTAACAACTAGACATGTATCTTGTTGGTCAAGACACCAAGAGAAACTCTATTCTCTTTTTGAATATAACCGTGAGATCTCGAACCACCATCTGAACAGGCAGATAGGACCTCATCTCTTAACAATGCAGCGTACCTCTTACACTATATTAGTGTCATCCTGGACTGTGAGTCCAAAATCCTGAACCCACAACCTCCTGACTCAGAGATAAGAACGCTATCAACTGAGCCAAACTGACACCTAAGTTACAGTATAGATGGAGGCCATTTGGCCCACCAAAACTAAGCAGGCACCAGTTTCTACACTGGAGATGTATACAGGCCTTACCCTCAAACTCCTCAATTTCTATGTTTTGTGTGTCCAGCAACAAGGCCTTTGAGATGTTGAGCACTTTGTAAGTTAATTACATGAAAGGTATTATATACGTATGAGCAGTTGTTGTCTTTCGTTTTTTGTAGATGATGTTTATGATGTTCAAGTTCTAGCAAAGTTTTGAGCTTAACAATGTAAGTCCTATTTAATTAGCTATAGCAACAGAGCATTACAAATGCACTCTTCCAATTTCGTGAATCAGACCTTCAGTGTTATTCTGTCGGAGGTGAAAAGCCTATTTTCTGATTAATCTAATTTTCATGAATAATTTATAAATAAAATTGAGCTGATAATTTTTTTCTTGTTAGCAATAACAGGTCCATTTATACAAATATATTGTTTCTGTCTTGTTCAAACAATCTGAGGGCCTTGTCCTTTTGGAAAGGATATATTGTTGGAGGCATTTTGTTATCAAGGTGATGTTGGCAGTGGTGAAGGTAACATTGTCTCATTGTGGGGGCATGAGAGTCCACATCAGTCAAAGATCAGAGAAAATAGTTGTCTGCCTTAATCCCAAAATCGGACCTGCTACTGGAGCAAGGTCACATTTTCGTTTCCCAGGCCAGCCATCTTTTTGCCCCTCAGAGAGATTGTTGATTTAGTGCTGAACGAGATGCAGTGAGCCTATACCGACAAGAAATAGAGTGAAAGCTGCCTTGAAACGCATTTCACAGAGGAATCTCACAGGCAAACTAGAGAAGACTAGAAACCCTATCGCCTGCACTGATTCAAACCCAGGTTCCAGAGGTGAGTGGTCAGCATCAGAGTCACAGCATGTCATAGTCCTTTATGATAGGCTCCATTTGTGAGTAGACTGAGAATCAGTGTATGTTCTTGTAATGGTTAATATCTGATGAGGGATAGAATTAGATTTCAAATATTTACGGGGGAGGGAGTGGGGAGAGTGGAAGAATATGTGGAATTTGGCCATTATCACAGGTGATAATTATCACAGCGCATACCACAAGTTTCCTCCTGTATTTCCGGCCCAGATTTGCATCTTTCATGCAATGACTAAGTGATGGAAACTTAAAGGTTGTGAACAACAGTTATCGTTAGGGTGTGGGGAAGCGGGTGGGAGGGGGGGGAAGGATAGAGGAGAAAAGAAATCAGATTGGTAAAGATTTAAATGCACTTATTTTGGGTGGACTGAGAAGAATCACGCAATTGTATCACATGGCGCTTCATTCAAAAAGCCTGTCCCAAAAGGGGAAGATACAGAGCAATTAAACAAGGACAAGGCAACACATAACTGTAGTTTCCAGATGGGTACACATGTGTAGTGACCCAATAACCACAAGAGTTGCTATGGAAATACTTAAAAAAAAACATGCTTCTTTCTTGTAACAAACTCCTCACTTAAAATGACAGAATTTTTCCAGGCTGCTATACTGCACAAGCCTATTCTGTGAGTCCTTGTTGTTTTACTGACCGATACCATTTTACACAGAACGGGTGAACAGAAGGTGGTTGTCAGGGACCAAGCCATCTCATTAATGGACTTTGCAGAAAGGGTGCAAAAAATAAAATCAACCTCTTCTAATTTCTCTAAGAGGGCATATACTCAAATCTAATTTTGTTTTGAAATAAGACAAAAGAATGCATGTTTACCATGGGCAGTAAAAACATGCAATTGAAAGGGAAACAGTAATTCACAACAAAGATTACTGCACTTTTTGTATTTTGTATGCAGAGCAAACAGAAAACAACAATAACTACAATGCAACATATTCACTTCTTACACTTTTTTTTCCAACTATCATCAATGTCAGGAACGTGCTACATACAGAATAAAGGGTTCTATCCAGAAAAACAGCATCTGTTATATAATTCAGTAGCAAACACAGTAAAACAGAACAGAAAANCCTGGGAACTTTCTCTTATAAGTCTTTCCCATACTTTTTGAAAATACTTAAAAGGGGAAAGTTTGTGTAACCAGTATGAGCTGGAGATGCATTTCGTTTTGGTCAAATTACATGTGGGGGTTATATTGAAATTTCTCTCCTCCCCCCTCCACCCTATAAAAAAAAACTCATCAGGTTAGGTTTTCCTTTGTAATTCACATTGCTAAAACATCACTGCATGCGTTCCACACCACAACTAGTAAAGAGATGCTTGCTTCTCTCAGAGCTCAGCTATTATTCCTGCACAAAACATTGAATTGCCTTTTAATACAAAAGCAGGATAGGACAGGTCATTACCACCAGCTGGATCAGACTGACAACAGGAGCGAGACTCACTAGGAGTGAATGTTGCTGAGACTCACAAGTTGAGATGTTCAATGTAGCTAACTGACCAAGTCTGTGCGTATCGCATATTTTAAGTATCACTTTTGAACAAGCATACGTTTTTACAATATCATATTAATAGAGATCTTAAAAAAGCGTCTGCGTATCTTCCAGACCACAGACTTGTGACCGAGATGGTGTCACCAGTGAGGAAAGTTGCAGAATAGGTTATTTACGCAGTTACGCTAGAGCAAAGAATCTTTAGGCATCACCTGTCAAATTCTCACTTACAACAAAAGGTGCTACAACAAAACCTGTAGATATTAGAAGACGACAAATGGTTTGTGTTTTGCAGAGCGTACTATCAGTAATGAGGTCTAACAGTTTCCTTTTGGGAAGCAGAGACTGTGTTCACAGGTTAGGAGACTGAAAAAGAGCTGTATATTACAGTTTATTGGGTTGGACCTTTTGATAGGTGATCCCAACTGATTTTATTGATAAATATTGCCACTGAAGAAGGGAATGCACTTCAAAGCAGTGTTTGAATGAAACTGGGATCAAGAAGATTACTGATGGTCATTTATTGAAATGAATCTTCAATAAGTTTCCACAGTAGCTTTGTCTTCCAAGTCTATTCATGGAAAATTTGTCTCTCTCTTTGCTAGCTTAAAATAGATTAGTATTTGCAGGTTTTCATAGTACAATTTACCAGGCATCTCCTGATCGAGGCTTAGAAGCTAGATCAGGAATCATGACAATTCTTCACTTAGCCTCAGCTTCCAGCAATATTATTATTATTAATGAATTGTTCTTACAATAAAGACCAAATACAATTAAACAGTCTAGCTTTTACATTGTTTGTTCTGCTTATTTTCAGCTTCATTATTTTCTTTAAATTGTTTTCTTAATGTGACTTGATTGTTTTGTTCTACTTAATTCCTTCAAATCTCTTTTTCCATTTTCTATTCTTGGAATTCTATGAGACTCATTACCGATCTATAATGGGAGACAGACGAAGGCAGTGCATTGGGGGAGAGGGGGAGGATAATAGGGACAGGAATCTATTTTGCAAGATTAAACTGGAAGCAAAAGCTACTTCTTTCCATGGTTCATGTCATCTGAATTTTAGGCAACAAACGTAACCCAACAAATGTAAATGGGAACAAAATAATCCTACCCTTTGTGTAACACACGTAATATGTAGCTTTCTATAGCAGATACTTGTTTGGAATGTAACCAGCACTGATCCGTAGTGGACAGCACCTGAATTCTCATCAACAACAATGCACTGCACAGGGGCACTAAAACACAGTCGTCCTACTAACTGGAACACTTCAGCACTGTTCGTTGGGTTGGGTATCAGTCTGGTTGCTGATCTTCCTCTTTCAAGTTAGGGAGAGGGGCTATTTTAGCCCAATTGTACTGCACAGCTCATCGTTCATGAGCTCCGCGTTAAGCTATAAGTAAGCCAGCTTGCACTGTGACATTACAACCACCCCCAGGAATCGGTACATCTTAGGCTCTTCAGCCCTGAAAACAAATATCTCAGAGGGGACCACTGGAGAGGTAGGTAGTAAGATGCTTAATGTGATGAAGTAAAATGGGAACAATAATTTCAGATACTCAAACCAGCAGGACGAGAGGTTATAGGTTCAAGGTTGCAGAGGGCAAGTTCAAGACAGGAAGGGTGGCTGATGCCAGGACAACAGTTTGATGGTGTAATGGAAAGACAGTGGGGAGAGGATCCTAGAAGGACTGGAGTCACTGGGCTGAAGGGCTTTCTTCATTTGAACCTTGCGATCTTTGCCACAAATAATTATTGGAGATTTTATGAAATTTGCATTGTATTCTCAAACCACCATAAAAGTCATCAGAGTGTTAAGATTCACAGGACTCGTTTCTCACAATTTTATTCATTCATCTACATTCCAGAAAGCAGGGTTCAGCTGCTCTTTGACGTAAGCCTCTTCTTCTTCGCTGATGCCTGATATAGTGAGCAGAGATCAATGCGGTTTATGAAATCCATAAAATTAAGAGGGATCCGTATTCCAGTGTAGCACTCCCAAAAGAAAGTCTCTTAAAATCTGCAGTTTCCTTCAAAAATAAAGAAAGAATAGGGTTATTCAGTGCTCTACTTTATAGCGCTCCAGATTCAATCTTTACTCAAATAAAATGTACGCTATTTCAGGGTAAAGAAACAACAACTCGCAATTAGCGGTTAAGAACATTTATTCATATTTAATATATAAGAGAGCAACTTGTGCTATTCCTTAAAGTGTTTCTTACCTTATTTAAGGAACATTTTAAGGAACACTAAAAGGTGGTGCCATTCTCCAGGTTAGTGGTTTGCTTCTTAGAGGCCCAGCACTGCCCTTTTCTCACCCTGAGTTGACAATCATTTTATTATATAACATTTAGGCCCAACATCATGCTTTGGCTGTTTCCCACTTAAAAAAAATAGGGTTGCAGTTGGAGCCTTCCAAAAGCTCACCACTGAATTCATAGTCTTAACCATAGAGCAGTGGCTGGTGGCAACATCTATGTTTCCCCTCCTCAACCCCCTCAGGTCCAATCCGAGCCCTGGGACACACTCCTGATGTGAAAGTTGCTATATAACTGTAAATTGTAATCTATAGTCAGTCAGCAGTTCCCCAGCTTCCACCAAGGGTTTCAGTATTCAGTAATAACCAGGGCTTCAGCTCCTGTGTCCTTTGTCACAAGGCTATGTGAGTGCTGCATCAGAGTTCTCTCTCTGTGGCGCAGGTGTTTGGAGAATGGAGTGCACTGCCTCTGGCTTTCAGCAAAGCATCAAGCCTGCTTCCTTTTGTCATGTCTGACTGTGTAGCACCTTCATTCCTTACATGGAGCGACCCTTTCAAATCTCACGGTGATCACCAGCGAGGTCACACGACCAACAAACAGCGGGAAATGTCTGTCAAAAGCCCCAGGAGAATTCCAAATACTCCTACTTGCCTCATCCATCTCCACCTCCCCCTCTCTCTACACATGAGGTCCACCTTTTATCATGGAATCACTGTAGACTAACAGCACAGAAAGAGTTCGTTTATCACGCTGTGTCTGTTCCTGTGCTAGTTCCTCCACTAATTCTAATTTGCCTGTTCTTTTCCCAAACCCTTTAATATTATTTTTCCCTGCAACGTATTTATCCAAATTCTGCTTTCAACACTTCATGGATTTATCTTTCACAGCCATTTGGTGGGAGGCACTGCATTTTCAAACAACCCTCTCTGTTCAAAAACATTTCATCTAAAGCTTTCCCTTTTATCTTATTTGTTATGTTTCCCTTACTTCCTATAAAGCGACACAGATTAAACGGCTGCTATTAGACTGTCAGCAGGTTGTCAGCCTGGCTCAGTTGGTAGTACTCTCGTCTCTGAGTCAGAAGGTTATGGGTTCAAGCCACATGTTGGGACTTTGAACTCACATGGTCTTGGCTGACACTCCAGTATTGGTGCGTTGCATTGTTGGAGGTGCCATCCTTTAGATGAGATGTTAAACGAAGGTCCTATCTTTACTTGTTCAGGTGGATGTTTCTTGATTCATGAGATCAAAAACTTTTATAATTTTGAACGCCCTTGTTATTTTCCTCCTTAATCTCCAATCCAGTTGAAAACAATTCAACTTTTCAAGCCTTTCCAGATAACTTTAATTCAATGAGAAAACTATTGGACCTGCTCTGTCTTAGTACCCATTTCCCACTTGACGAAACAGACTTTCGTGCTGCAATCAGCATCTGCACATTGATCAACAATTGACACATCGTCTAACTTGCTCAACCAGAAGTCAAAGGAGTCCTGTAGCTCAGTGGTTACAGCACTCGCCTCGCAAGCGAGAGACCTGGGTTTGATTTCTGGCAGGGCGAAATGTTGAGTAAGTTTCCTTACTCCACACGTCCCTGTTTACCTAACAGTAAGTAGACACCCGGTTGTTAGTCAATTGGCGGATCACTTTTCCGGGGATAATAATTATTTCAAAAATAATAAAAAACTGGTCACTTCAATCCACGACTGTTTGTGGGACACTGCTGTGCACAATTGGCTGCTGCGTTTCTCCCACAAAATATACAGACAATTCACTTTACATTATATTCTGTGAAGCGCTTTGAGATGTCTCAAAGACGTGATAAGGCGCTATATCAAATGCAAGGATTATATTTTATATTATAACCAACATTCATACATTTGCAATACAAGGTGGAACTGACTATGAGGTTGGAGCATCTCAATCTGTGATGTGTCAATAGAAGCAAGGGAATTGTAACAGAGGGCTAAAGAACGACAGAGACTGGTGTGTCACAGTTATCAGTTCTCAATGGAGGGTGAACATCCAAAGTGAAACTCTTTGCCAAGAGTGACTTCCTAAAATAAGATCATGCTAACATTTACAACAACGTGCACCCTCTCATCTCAAAGTACAGATAGAAGTGAAGATAAACATTATAAAAACATTGGTAGGGTAGAAAAAACAGAGAATTGGGATCAGATTAGTTAGCTTTACAGAGAGTATAGTATGGGGGTAGGGAGAGGAGCTTGTCCCAATGTAGAACTGATGGACTGAATGATTCTTTTAGCCGTGCTATAATCTCTGTCACTCTCAGCTGTGACGTCCTCCTGACGTGAAAGGCGCCATAATTTGTTGTTGTTGTGAGAGGCAGATGGCTCAGGCTGACAAGGAAATACGTGGGACCGAGGAAAGGGAACTCAAAAGGCAGTGTCCTCATGAGAATATATAAAGCACTGTTATTCATCAGCACCATAAATATTCTATCATAGAAATTACAGCAGGGTTCAAAGCAAAAAAGCTTTTATCCAAATAAATAGCTTATTTTCATAGCAAAGTAATTTTGCGTTTGTAAAAGAAAGGCATGTTAGTGAGAAATGTGCAAAAGACTATATCGTTTCTCTCAACGGTACATTTATAGTGATGATGAGTCAGATGCACTCGGTAAAAATTTCATTTCAGCGATGCCAAGGTTATGTCAGGTAACCTGGCAGATGGCAGATTGAGTTTTTGTTTTCACTTATCCACTGAGAGAGATCATGTAACATGTGGGGGAGGGAATGCACATCGATTTACTGAAGAGTGATCTGTGCAGTAGCAAAAAGGAAATTGTATCAGATATGGAACATTAACCCACTGAGGACAGGACCCACTACACACACTTTAACGAATGTTGGAAAGTTAAAACGAAGAAGAATTTCCTTTCTAAATTCAACATCAAATTGGAAGTGCAGTATGGGGGCAAGAAGAGAAATAAATCATCTCAGCCCGAGTATAAAAGAGGTGGTTCAGTTTCCTTACACAACAACAAATTACATTTGCGTAGCCCCTTTCATGTCGGTAGCAAGGCGAATGGACCGTGGGATGGACTTCCAAAGGGTGAGGGCAGAGAAGCTGAAGGCTCAACCGCCGATGGTTGGGTGGGCCAGGCGAAGGACATGGAGCAGGCTGCAGCCTGCTGAGCGGAGGGAGTGGACAGGATCATACGGGGTTAACAGGTCACAGATTGGAAGGAGCAAGGCTGTAGAGGGCTTTGAAGATGAGGACGAGGATTTTGAACTGTATCTTCTGGGGATGGGGAGCAAGTGGAGCTGGGCGACGTTGGGGTGATAGGGTCATGGAGCTTGGTGCGGGAGAGGACACGAGCTGCGGAGTTCTGAATGATCTGCAGCTTTTAGAGGGAAGAATTGGGAAGGGTTATCCAATCATGTTGCCCTTGGTCAAATAGGTGACTGTCACATAAGGAAATCCATCACTGTGCTTAAGAGAAATCAAACCAAACAACTGAGCTCCACTTATGTATGGAATACCTGTTTATCTGGAATGGAGTGTGGACTCTCTCCCCAAACTTTGTCGCAAACTGCAAAGTTTTCTGAGTGGAAATAGTCCAAATTTTCAGGGTGAACGAGTAATTGTTCTGACTGTAGGGTCATTCTAGTCTGTGCTGCCCTCTGCCATGGATCAAATTAGGCAAATAAAAATGACGCATGAAATGAGATTATTATCCTGCCTTGTCCCTGTTGAACAGAGATGTCAACAGGATTTGACAGGGTGATCATCATTTAAAGTGGTTTTACAAAACTAAGACCCAGTAGGTAGTGGAGGCTTATCACTGTATATAAACTGTCAGGCGGATTTAGGATTTATTTAACCCTCTCCCAACTTTTGGTTCTCTATCTACGAAAATTCTGAAGGGAAATAAATAATAATAATCCTTGATTTGATATAGTGCTTTTCATGTTTTCTAGACATCTCAAAGCGCTTCACAGAATATACTGTAAAGTGAATAGACTGTATATTTGTGGGCGAAACGCAACAACAACAAAATTACATTTATAGAGCGCCTTCACATCGGGAGGACGTCCCAAAGCGCTGAACAGTCAGGTGTCAGGGCCCAAACATGGGGGGAGGGGGTGTGGTGTAGGGGTGAGGGAAGGCAGAGAGGTGGGAGGGAGATCAAAGGCACGATCGAAGAGAAAGGTCTTGAGACCGGCCTTGAAGGAGGCAAGGGAGGAAGCAAGGTGAGGGGACCGTGGGATGGAGTTCCAGAGTGTGGGGGCAGAGAGGATGTGAAAGCCCGACCACCGATGGGTTGGGCGGGAGACATGGAGCAGGCCGGAGCCTGATGAGCGGAAGGAGCGGGCAGGCTCGTAGAGAGTCAGCAGGTCAGAGAGGTAAGAGGGGGCAAGGCCATGGATGGCCTTAAAGGTGAGGATGACGATCTTGAACTAGATCCTCTGGGGGATGAGAAGCCAGTGGAGTTGGGCGAGGGTGGGAGTAATGGGGTCACGGAGCCTGGTGCGTGAGAGTACATGAGCTGCAGCAGCCAAATGCGCACAGCAGGGTCCCACAAACAGTCGTGGATTGAGTGACCAAATTATTATTGGTTTTTTTTTGAAGGACTATTATCCCCAGAAAAGCCATCTGCTAATCGACTAACAACTGGGTTCCTACTTACTGCTGGGTAAACAGAGGCGCGTGGAGTAAAGAAACTTGCCCAACATTTCGCCCTGCCGAGAATCGAACCCAGGTCTCTCACTTGTTGAGCTACAGGGCTCCAGATAGTGCAGCTCCCAGATCACTGCAACCACAATAACAATTTGCACTTATATAGCACTTTCCAGGTAGAACATCTAGACATGCTTTACATAGACAGAGTGGGAGACAGGGAAAGAGGTGGGAAATGGCTGAAGGCACAGTCAGAGTTTTTAGATGGGTTTTGGAAGCAGAGAGAGAGAGCGAGGCAAGGGGATTTAGGCAATATTACAGAGAGCAGGGGCAAAATGGCCCAGCATAGGTGGGACAGGGCGGGCAGGGGACATGAAGCAGGCCTGAGTAGGCAGAAACTCCAACCTCTTAATATCACAAGAGAAGTTTGGATGAGAATGTCCTTTCAGCCATTTAATCTCATTCTTCTGGAATATCCTACCATCTTCCCATCACAGCATCAAGCTCTTTCTTAGAGTGTAGGACTGCAAAAGACTATAGAGCAACTTGCATTTTTGAATGTCTCGGGATGCTTTACAGTGGAGGGGTCAGACGTGAAGGGGAGGTGAGGAAAGAGGCAATTTATTGTTCTGAGGTGCTTTTCCTGATGCAAGGTATCCTGTTGTTATATATTAGTCTTGTTTTTTTCAATGACCAGGTTTTCAATCCATTTTTTTATTTTAGCCAGTGTCACACAGCTGGAGTGCCCATCCTCAAACTCAGTCGAAAGGAAGAAGATAAAAAGTACTGTTGTTTGCAGATAATTGCATGCATGTGGCACAAATGTCATGCCCAGCTGTCAAACAGGATATCTATTCCTCCCGTAAAGATGATAGTAATTGCCTTGTGGCTTTGTTTGCTCCCTGTGCCGCCCCAATCAGCTTTATTTGCGTAACAGAAATAAAATTTCACAGTCAGCCATAACACGTCCAGACATTCTACGCACACTGTGAATTTTAATATAGTGGTTAGTATCACTGTCAATTTACATAAAATCTGTTTGTTGTTCAAACCCCAGGCTGGCCTCATGCTGAAAGCCCTCACACCTACAGGCTTTGTATTTCTGGGACAAATTGTGCTTAAAACACAGAACCTACCTCATCTGAGGAACATCTCTGAAACTAGCCAAGGCTTTCCCCGAAGTATAGCCACTCTACCTCGCAATATCACAAGAGAGATTCGGATAAAGAAGTCCCTTCGGCCCATTTAATCTCATCCTTCTAGAATATCCATCCCACCATCCTCCATCACATCAAGTTCCTAAATGAGTTGAGTGTCTTGGCTCAACCAATTCCTGGTAACTCACTCCAGTTTTTAATTACTCTCTGGTTACAGAAGCAATTTCTGGTGTCTGTCCTGAAATTGGCTTTCATAACCCTGAGTCCTGTTCTGCTTGCTTGGCATAATTAAAAGCATTGCTATTTTTCAGCTTTCTTCAGGATCTTTGAGTATAAACCACAAAATACACAGTCACTACATTTTACAGTATAATCTGTGAAGCCCTTTGGGAGATAAGGCACTATATCAAATGCAAGGATTATTATTATTAGAAGAAGTGAGTTGTTTACATTTTTTAATATTATTTCTCTTTGAGCAAATCTTTACTAACTATTCTACACCCACCTCTGCTTATCCTAAGTTACCAATATCCAATCAACTATGATAAATGAGGCAAAGTACATAACTGAGTATCTCCACTATTCCTTAACTCTTCACTACAAGCCTTCAGTAGCTCTATCTCTAACGCCTTTTACTATTAAAGGAAATATTGATTCAGATAGAGGTCAGAACCTGGATGAGTTTCAAAATGTAGTAGGATGGGACAACCAGGAGGGTGACAGAAGTCAGGTCACTGGACTCATTTATGAAAGTTTGACGCCTCCTCTTATTTTGGAGTACTTTTTTTGGCGCTAGACGTGGAGTCCTGTAGCTCAGTGGTTAGAGCACTCGCTTTGCAAGTGAGAGACCCGAGTTCAATTCCAGGCAGGGCGAAACCTTGGGCAAGTTTCCTTACTCCACACGCTAGTAATAATCCCTCCAAAAAAAAATCAATAATAAATTGGGAATTTTCAATCCATGACTGTTTGTGGGACACTGCTGTGCGCAATTGGCTGCCGTGTTCACCCACAAATATACAGTCAATTCACTTTACAGTATATTCTGTGAAGCGCTTTGGGACATCTAGAAGACGTGAAAAGCGCTATATCAAATGCAAGGATTATTATTATTTACTGTGCAGTTTGGCTGTCCGAGCACTTTCTCAAAGAGTACGTACCCGCTGTAGACCAGGTGATCTACGGCTCTCTTTCTGAAGAAACGTCCCCCTCTGCCCCACTACTAGCACTGGGGTCCTCTTTGCTGCGCAAAGCACTTTTCTCTTTGGTGGATTCCGACTGGGTTTTAGTTCTTGTTTTTTCTTTTCTTTGCTGCTGTTTTTCCAGTTTTGTGAGCTGAAAACACAGTAAGGGAGAAATTTGTTTTATTGAATAACATCACCACAGAATCTCAGTCAACTCTTCACATATGTGTTGAAGCTCTGAGCACTCAGGCACCTTTCACCAGTTTTGGCCCTTTTAGGGTCCTAGAGGTGGCTGGTGTTCTTCGTTCACCTCAAAGGCTGCAGGTCAGATCCATCATCTTTACGGTGAACATCATTCAACACTACAAGAGCAGGGACAGAGGAACATCCCACACCTGATCAGCCCCAAGAGCGTTGGGTAAATTTCCGCCATTCTGCCTCTGCTCTCTGGAACGCTATGGAAACTCTCCTCAACTTCTCCCTGTCCTTCCTCCCCATTTTTAAAGCCTATCTTAAAAGACTTACCTCTCTGACTGCGGTTTTGGTCATCTTTCTCCCCCACTCACCCTCTCTTCAGTTTGCCCCCCTGCGCCTTTGGCTTGGGTTCCCAGCCAGAGATGTAAAGTGTTTTGAAACAGCCTCCCAATATGAAAGGTGCCATAAATTGTATTGTATTACAACGAGCTTACTCCATCAACCAGCTCCCTCGTCAGAACTTGATTGGACTCATCATTCCTCAAACCTGCTGTTCTCTAGTCAGACTTTATTCCAACTATCTTTTCAACGCTCCAACAGAGTTGATATTCACTGCACTCGCTGGTATTGCATTCTGTCTGTCAAATCATGTTTGACTTAATGTGACATCTTCAGCGTACTGACGTGACCAGTGAGTTTCTTATCTTTGATTTCTTAACACTGGGTCTGTTTTGCAAGAGTTGCAAAAGGATTTGTAAATAGAATATTCTAGATCTGTCATAGTTGACGCTCTGGAGCTCCAACACTCATCGACTCAGTATCGATTTCCGTGAAATTAATGTCCAACCTTAACATCAATTTCCTGAATGTAGGTTGGCAGAGGAACATGCAGGAGCTGAAAAGACCACAGTGGACCATATGGCCAGTCTTGAAGTAAGTGTAAGTCAGGCGGTGGGCGGTTGAAACGTTTAATATAACACGTTATCACGTCATCAAAATGTCTCAAAGAGCTTTACAGATTTACTGTAAAGTGTAGTGACGAGTATGTGTAAGTGAATTCCAATTTGTGATCCAAATTATGCACAGCAAAGACCCATAAACAGCTGTCAAGCAAATGAGCAATTTTATCTTGGGCAATACGGGCCAGGACACTGGGAGATACTCCCTTCTCTTTTTCATTTGTGCCCTGGAATCCTTAACATCCACCTGGACAGGCAGATGGAACTTCTGTTTGAACAACTCATCCGAAGGATGGAACCTATGATCATGAAGCATTTCCGTCAGACGAGTTGATGAACTCAAGGTCCCAACCTTCTGACTTGGAGGCCAGATGCTACCAGCTGATCCAGGCTGACACCAGGAACAAGCCTAGAAATGAAGTGAATATTATGAAGGCAAATGTGCCAGTTGCGTTGTGAAAACAGAGTTCACTGAGCCAGAGAAGCTCAAACATATATTGGACCTTTGATTCATGCACCAGAGGCTTGAGATTCCATCTAAGACTATATTGTCTTAAATTTTCCATTAGTTGAAAATGTTTGAATTCGCACACACTTTAGTAGCCTTTTTTAAGAATTGTGGAAAATTGGCCCCAAAAAATTCCGACTCAATTTACAAGTTCTCCGCAATTCTGCACAAATTTAAATTTTAAGACAAAATAGTATTCGCGTGACGACTTGGTGGGCTTTCAGATCACTGCCACCTAGTTGAGGATCTGTGCCTTGTGACGTACTCCCGACATGAAAGGCGCTACACAAATGTAATTTTGTATTGTATCTGCACTGTACTGTAATCTATCTTTCAGATCTGTCATTGAACTGAGGTTCTGTCTGCCTATTTTTATGGTGAATGTTGAAGATCCCAAACAAATATTCAAAATGAGAAGAGTGTTTCTCCTCCTGCCCTAGTCAATAAGTTTGCATATTAGTTAGTCACCCATCTCCCTCATGGCTGTTTCGTTGGCTCAAAATGGTTTGCTGCGCTGACAAAGTTTACATTTTGTACCTGTGCTTTGCTCTGTCTACGCACAAAAACAGTCACTAAATTTGACGAAAAGTACTTGTGAAGCTTTTTGTGATGTTTCGATCTGGTGAAGCACTATCAAATGCAAGTTCTTTCTTTCAAGTTTGAGTTGTGGATGCAAAATTATCCACATGGTAGAAAGCACCATAGACCATGAGCTCAAGGCAGTAACTCATTCCGAGTTCAGAGATGTTCATCAATTGGTCCTGCATTGCTTTCGCGATCTGTATTCTTTGAGGGAATCACTGCCTTTCACTCCTCATCCACCTTCAGTGAACACCAGTCAACCAATGATTAATATTCACTGCACAACACCACAAGCTAACTTTGAAGATATTAGCCCGGGCTTATATAACCATGATAAACATGCAGCCTCTGACTAATGCATCTGTTCCATGGATCTGTTGGTTACAACAAATGAAGAGTTTAAACAGCACTGAAAAACTTTCAAACATGGACCCTGAACAGAATTACATTATTTTACCAACTGTGTTTGCGACAAAAAAATGCAGTCACTACACTGTACAGGATATTTTGTGAAGTGCTTTGAGACATCTTCCTGCTGTTAAAGGCTCTGTATCAAATGTAAGCACTATTCATATTATTATTTGTGAATTAATCAATAGATTTTTCATATTTATATAAGCGCTCTTGAATGCTACCCGGCATGAGGGGTACTATATAAATACAAGTTGATATTATATATACAGTGTGCAAACATATTGCACAAATATTATATATATATTTATTTATATATATATACAAAAACGCTTCACTTTTTCCAGTCTAAATTACTTGATGGATGATAGGCTTGGTTTTACTATAGTTTACAGATGGGCTTCTCAAACTCTGGAGCAGCACACACTGAGCCCCAGAGGAATCAAGTCTATCATGTTAAAATACAACAGTGCAGATGCAGGAAGTTAGGTTGCTCGTCTCAAAGAAATACATAAGAACATAAGAAATGCTAGATGAAATAAAGTCCAAGGTCTATCTAGTTCACCTTCCACCTTCTTGGTGGTCACATGCACATATGCCGCGAACTACCTCTGTACTACATCCCATAATATGTTTTTTCCTAAAAGAAACCATCTCAGCTGTCTTTGAAGGAATCAACACTTTCCGCTTCAACAGTCTCCCTCGGGAGCCTGTTCCATAGGTTCACTAATTCGCTCACTAAAATAATGTTCCTGTAGATTCCTTCTGAATTTCCCCCTTCAATCGCAGGCTGTGTCCTCTGGTTTCACTATTCTGGAAAAGTTAAAACAGCCTGTCATGATCTATATTGTCTAGCTCCTTTAGAATGTTAAAGACACAATTATAACACCTCTCAATCTTCTCTTTTCCAGCGTGAACATGCCCAATTTACCTATTTGCTGCTGATTGTCCACTCCCTCCAATCCCTCAATCATTCTGGTTGCCCTCCTCTGTATCCTCTTGATATCTCCAATATCCTTTTTGTACTGCGGCGACCAGAACTGTACACAGTACTCTTAAGTGCGGTCTCACCAATGATTTATACAGTAGCAGGATTACACCACTATTTTGGCTTGCTGTTGATCTTTTGATACATCCCAACATCTGGTTTGCTTTTTTCACTGCCACAGAGCATTGTTGTGGAGAGCTTCAATTTATTGTCAATCAGAACCCCCAGATTCTTTTCATTTTCCATACATATTATTATTATTATATTATTTTCCTTCCATTCAAATAATAGTCCCTTCCTGGATTTTTTGTCCCCATGTGAAGTACTTTACATTTCTCCACATTGAATTTCATCTGCCAAATGGATCTCATAAGTTGTAATGCAAAATTAGAACACTGTTTTAGAATATATTTATTTATTTGTTACAGAATCAATATCAGGCATAAGAGTTAAATTATGCTGACTTTCATTAAATACTGCAGTCAGGAGCTGACTAGCAGTTTTGTACTGAAGATTTGCATGCAACATAGTACCAATTCAGTCAGTACACCGTCAAGCAATCCACCCACCTTATATTCGGTATAAAGCGTCGTCAGTGAAAGGGCTTAATACAATACATTCTAAAGGGCAGTGACTATGTAGTTTGTTGTCGAACGCTTTCCAGTAGGTTCCCTTTGACACATTTGTCTCACCCATCGAATAAACTTGAATCCTTTTAATTTTCAAGAATTTGACTTCCTTTTTGAAACCTTTTACGGTTCCTCAGCCAGGTTCCTGAAAATACTGGAGGAAATCACAAGGCGATCTGAGGAATTGCAAAGGAATGAGGATTAATTAATAAGGAATTAATTCCCCAGATAAAATTGGTCACTCACTTCATGGCTGTTTGTGGAAGATTGCTGTATACAAATTGGCTGTCATGTTTGCCTAAAGAATACATGCTCACTGTACTTTACAGTAAATCCTGTAGAGCACTTTGAGACTTCCTAACATTAAAAGTGCTGTATCAAATGAAAGTGTTATTATCAGTTCACAATCCGTAAACCAAGAAGTTGATCAGGGCTCAGGCCATTTCTTGTAATCTGCAATGTCAGAACATGCAGATTTTATAATGATCTGCAGACTAATATATGTGAGTGACATGCTGATGCACTATCAGACCTGCTGTGTCTCAGCCTGGCTTGAGATGTTAACCTGAGATCTGCAACAGATTTCTTATTTTGCTTAGCAAATCTGAGAGGGACCCCACTTGGTAACTGGTAATATCTCACATACATCAATCTAACTGGAGGAAACCCTGCACCACAGAATAGACTCTAGGTAGAGTGGCGTTCCTGTGAATCTGTCGTGGGATTTTATATTTCTTAAATACAAAATCCATTAACAGTGCAAAATTGCTTCAAATTAACGCCAAGACTTGAGGACATTCAGAAGCAGATCGATGACTTGAGTGGCAGTACTTGGCAAACGAAAGCGACAATGCCAACTCAACAATATGTTTTTGTGGT